GAAGTAGTATAATGCATAATTTTAAATAGTCAAGTACCTTTCGAAAAATTCAATAATAATAATAACTAGTACAACACCCGTGTATTACACGGGTGCTTGTTAATTTTTTTTCTTAAAATCTAAAATTAATGAGAAAAAATAGTTTGAAAGTTTAAATACCTTTTATAAGAATATATATATTATTATATATTTATTATGATACTTTTTATTTGTGCAACTTATTTGTGTTATATTATACTAATTTTTTTTAACTTACAATATATAACTACATTACATATAAATATATCAATTGAGAAATAATTTTATTTTTCTTATGAATTTTAATAAATATTATTATTTTTTATTATTATCTATAATCTATAATCTATAATCTATAATAATAATATAAAGAGGTTGTTGGAAAAATACAAAAAAAAGTAAGTTTGACTTCAAAAAATAATCCTTTGACTTACTACTTTAAGTAATAATTACTACTTTAGGTAATAACCAAGAAGGTCCCACAAATTAAATTAATTATTAATTATTAATTAACATAAAAATACGGAATATCATAAATCAATCCTTCCATTAAGTAATTTTAAACTATTTTTATTTGATTCTGTGCAAATTTTGTGTTCGCATGTGCATTGCCTTCCAAGAATTTTCGGATTTGTTACCTAATTATGATGATTTCTCTCATATTATGCTGATTTTTTAGTTGATTCTGTTTTTATGCTGATTCCTTTTTTATTTTTCCAAAAACATCTAATTTTAATAACAAAAAAAGCTATAAAATCGCATAAATCGGCTTACCAAATTGTCTAACCGATATTTTGCCATATATTAAGAGATAAGAATTATCTTTTATTTTGTCAACTAATCATTATTATATAAAACATTTAATAACAAAAAAGCTACAAAATCGCATAGTGAGGCTTACCAAATTGTCTTATCGATTTTATGCCATATATTAAGAGATAAGAATTATCTTTTATTTTGCCAACTAACCATTATTATATGAAAGATATCCGATTGGAATAGACGGTGATATTTATAATAAAATAAATCGGGTATTGTCCCTTAAGAATATTAGTACAAGCAATAAATCCGTAAACATCCATAAAAATCCACAAGAATCGTAAAGTTAATCATTACTATATAAATATTAACAAACTTGAACAACATATATTCTACATCATACACATCCCGCACTACAACTTTTTTTACGAAGCTTTTCAACATCATCTCAACGTGCCTTTGAATTTTGGAGTCATCAGGATATCCACAGATCCAATAAGTCACCAATCAAGCTACACATAATTAGGATGTTCCAACGAGTTGAAGACGTACGCAATTACCTGAATTTTCTAGAGATTATCTTTCACGATTCGGAGGTAATATGTTCACACATTCATACTGTATTTAATTTAAATTTAAAATTATTTTATTGTGCTTATTAAATTATTTAATAATTTAATATGTATTGTCTTAGAGATTACGAATTACTGGCATAATTCGACCTGTGAATATCCAAAAATTCGTCGGTGATATTGAAGAAATGTGGTAAGTATGTCTTGACAAACTATCAAGTTGAAAGCAATATTGACATCTACAAATCGACTATAGGAAAATGGAGGATCATTATCCATGGCCAAACCAAGATTGTCAAATTGCAAATATATAATTATTTATATGTTATATTTGTATAAATTATATTAACGTATTTGTTGTTTATTCATGAATTATTTTTCCCCTAAGAAACCAGTGTTTAGTCATGGTCAGTTGTATGTTGTTGTCTCCCGTGTTGCAAACAGAAATGGTTTGAAAATCTTAATTTGTGGCGATGATGATGTGTCAACGAATCAAACCATGAACGTTGTATATAAGAAAAGTGTTCAATAATATATAGATTATTTTTTATTTATTTTCTTAAGCTTTTTATTATTAATGACATGATGTTTCTGTTAGTTTGAACTGTATGAGAGATTTGCTTTTTAAAAGGGACGGAGATAATAAACCCCCGTGCATCGCACGGGTACTGTACTAGTAAAGATAAATATAATTTATTTATTTCATATATACAATATGGATGACAAATCGAAGATCATCAAAAGATGATTAATTTGATATACTATATATGTAAAACCGATAAGAAATACAAAAGTTACATATATAATTCATTAGCTTATTGAAGGAAACAAATCAAAATTCAGGGATATATTAGTCACTTAGTGCCTCACAATGTAAAATTACAAAGAATTAAAGGGTTATATTAATAAAAGTGATATTAAAATACCTAAGTTAACTAAATAATATTTATAGAATACCCGAACCTAGATTATTAATTATTAATATATCAATATTATCAAGGAAATAAATAGCTCACTAAAGTTGCCGCTATTTGAGAAATAGCTTTTTTTGACAGCGTGCCGCTATTTGTATTCATGTGCAATTTAGCCGCTAAATCCCGCTAAATCTCCGCTATAGCTCCACTATAGCTACAGTGTCATAAACGTTTTAGCCCACTATTTAAGACCTTGAATATTATTTATCCAAACCTAATTACGAAGCATGATTCTTCGCCAAATAGGATTTCGAAGCACCAAAAGCAGCTACGTAGGCTCAGCGCATTCGGAAATTATATATAGGGAGGATAATAATAATAATAATAATACTTAGACAAAGAAAACAAAATAAATACTGAACCCAAGTTCACATTATTTGAATTTGTATGTTGTCCTGACTAGAGCAGATATTAATTTAAAAAATTAACAACATATCATTATAAAATTAAAAGAAATTATTGTTGAAGTTGTTTCTTAACTTTGTTTCATATCTTTTTGTCAATTTTATACTTAACAAAAAATATTGTTTACATTACATTCGTGTATCCAACGGGTAACAGTGCTAGTTAATTAAGAATGAAAGAATAATTCATCCTCACATAATGATGAAAGTCACATCACCAGAAATCCACAAATATTACATCAACATCAGTTAGAGCAAAAACAGCCACAATAGCATCCAGCAGATATCAGATTTTAGAGCGCAGTCCAACCACCATTTTATTAAAATGCTGCAACACATGCTTAATGATGCCGGTGAAGGGAAAAAAATAAAGGAAGAAACAATCGAAATATCAATTAGAGGACACTATCGTTGGAGTCGAGCATCTCCTTAGTTGCCTTTCAGGTTAATAACTGCAAGCTCCTGCTCTACAAACTCACCAGCACGAATGGGAAAGTATTTGCCGGCTAATGGTGAACCCGCAAAGTGGTCCAAAGGTTTCAACACAGCATCTGATGCTATGTGTGCGAAAAGCTACATAAACAAACAACAAATTTTAGCAAACATAAGTGAACAAATACAAAAACAAAAACCATGTACACATACATGGACACTCACCGTTGAGGATACTCGCCACGGGCTGCGATTTTGCTCAGAAGCTAATTTCATTGCTTCTATTGTGCGGTCTGTCACGACAACTTCATGCATGCCAGCCATGCACTCCCCAGCAGTCAACCACTCTATCTGCATATCCATATCATTTTTAAAGGTTAGGAAAAGAAGTTGAAAATAAAGAGCTATCTATCTATATTCTATTATAAAAGGAATGAATTTGTAAAAAATTGTACAGACTAAAATAACCTGGACTAAAATATCCTTGTATTTGTAATGTTTGTAATGGCAGAATTGTACTAAAAAAAATAGATCTAATTTAAAAAGAATAATTATAAACGAAAAGGACTCTGATTATTTATGCGAAAACTTGCCAATATTCACTCGTTCAAGACATGTTGTCACTCTTAAGGACTTGAAAGCCGACACCACAATACAAACATTTTATATGTATCAATTACAAAATACAAAATTGAGGAGAAACAAATATTTTGAGTGAAAAAGCTAATACAATTGATCTTAATACCTGGGCTTAAAATCTCAATTTTTTAAAATTCTAGAGAGACAAAAAGCTAATAAAAAGAGTTCAACGTTATTATCCCTCAATAACAATAACAATAACAATAACAATGTATTCAAAGAAAAACATGATTTCATCTAAAGTATAATTGTGTTGCTTGTCTTATTCCATAAATGGTTTAACATAAATCAATTTAACCACTTTATGCATAAATTAATTATTATAAAATTTTAAACTCATGTGTAAGAAGTTGAAAATCAACATAAAATTGAATGGATTATATAAGAAATGATTTACTATACTAATAACATATTGACGTATAAAGATTTAATAAATAATTATCCATTTATATATACTAATTGCGTAATTAAGTTGGTTTATGTGCAATTAGAATACTATGTAGTTAAGCTATAATTTTGCCATTTAATTTTTAAAGAATGCATGAATATATTAGGGAATCAACATTTTTACAAAAATTATTCATACGATTTCAACTAATTACACGTGATTTTTCCGTCTCCTGAGTTCTCATGTGAACCACAAACTTATACCAATGAGCAATAATCATAAACAAATGCTATATAATATTTAAAAAAATGAGTAGTTTGCTCAAAAGAAAATAATAATAAAGAAGATATTTTTACTTTATTCCTTTATTTTTAATAAAAATGAGTAGTTTGCTATTAATATATATATTTTTTAAAATTTATTATTTTATTGTGATTTCTTTTAATTGTTAACCCCTAAAATGCTCGAATAATACTTAACTACGAACACATTGTTTAGAATATCAAAATTAATTATGAAATATCAAATAAGAATATTATAAGAATTCAAGTTTGACATAGAAAATTAAACAAATATACTATAAATTATAAATTTTTTTCTTTTAATGAAAAAGAAAAAAGTGTAACCTCAAAAGACACGGATACAAAGATTCGAAGACAAGCTAAAAATCAACCTGATTTAACTCATGAGTTCTTCAAAATTATTATACATATGTTTAAGAAAATAAAATATTTCAATATTGAGCTACTCATATTCACATAATAAAATTTTAAAGAAAATCAAATGCTCTTATGAAGTCTGATTGTAGATTTTCAACTCCGACCAATTTGATAATGTTGAAGTTCAATACTTTAGAACTTAAAGTGTCTTCAACAGTTGAATAGTATACTACACAAACTCAAACTGGAATCTTTCATTCAACCGAAGGGCATACGCAAGCTCAAAATGCATTCTCACTTTTTTATTTTATGTCTAAGAAACGCAAATTTCATTTTGACTAAATGCAAAAGTTTCAAGAAATATAAATGTTTATACCTTACATAAATTTATTGTTTTATATACATTCAGTTTTATAGGTTTACATATATTTACATAATATATATATACTCTATTACATTATTTTTATATTTCAAATTTATATAGAAAATATATTAAATCTTTTCCATATTTTTTGACAATAAAATATTAATACAAATATTTTGAACGTTCGTAAAAAAATTTGGAAAATAATTATCTATCAAAAACTTAATACAAATAATTTTAAAGTAAATTATCTATAGTGAAAAGGAAACACTAAGAGATATTTATAATAAATTCAAACAATATGATGTTTCTACAAATACTTTTAATATTTATAATAACTTCAAATAATATGATACTTCTAAAAATAATTTTCAACACTGAAATATAAAAAAAAAATTAAACGAAATAGAAAAATAGACATTAAAATTAGTAAATTACTGCTTATATTAAGGCACATTATCTATATCCATAAAGAAATACATCATAAAACCACAAAATTAGTGTATTATTCATGTTTCAAAAGTAATTATTTTAGTATATCTTTTGTGTACGAATAATTGAAAATTATTGGTTGAATATTAATTTTATTACATGTTTTTCCAATCAAATTTAAAATTATTCTGTTGTCTTATATTTATAAAAGTCATTAAATATGTGAGTAGTATTGAAAATTGTAATATTGATTTGGGACAATATTTCATGAATATATGAAATATTCTTTGAGTTTGAGAATGAGTGTAATAGTTGTGAAACATATGATGTACGAATCATGTAGATCAAAGAATAAAAAATAACTATTGCATGGTGAATGAGAAATGATTATATCACCATAAAGTAATAAAAAAATTAATCATTTTACTTGGCATATTTTGCCTGAAGTAAAAAGATTCCGAACTAATGAGATTGACTTAAAGAATGAAAATTTGTACACTAAATAAAAAAATATAATTTGAAATTACAAAAAGTATAAACCGTGTATCATGTGCATCGCACGTGCACTTTACTAGTTAAAATAGTGAATCGGAAACTTCAAAAACTATTGATTAAGTCCAATTAGGTTAATATGAAGATGGAAAATAAAGAGACGGTAACTTAGGACTAAATGCATTTATCATTTCCATCAGGTTTATGAAGAACAAAGGCCACTGGCAGGCCATTCTTAATTCATTTCATCCTTAACAGTAACTTCCTTCACCTTAACTAGAGTAACTACTATTTCAGTTCAGTTTTAAGTTGCCTATTTTATAAAAATACAAAAAGAAAAGAAAAAGAAAAAATAAATTGGTGACAAAGAAATGAAATTGGAAGTCAAGCAGCTGCATGATTGCAACCCACATCCATATATAGAATTCACCTTCAGAAATGACAAAAGATAGGAATAATACCTGCTTTCCTGTCTGAATGAGGAGGCAACCTACAGGGACTTTGACTTCCATTTTCAGCCCATTTCTCAGCCAAATATTTAGCCCTGGGAATCTACTCCTGCCATGAATTGTAAGAAAGTTGAGGTCATAATGGTATCCGGCAAACACAGTGCCTATGTGACCATGACGTTTTAGATCACTTCCTGTTGGAGCAAGCAGGTGGGGTCCCTGGAAGTGAGAAATCAACATTCTTCTGTAAGAGTTGGAATAGCCAGGGCATCAATGAAAGAGATAGAATATTGTAAAAGACTCACAACTAAGATTTCATGACATCGGGAAGAAAAGTGAATGACCTCAACCAAGACATTCATGCTATTGAAGAAAAATAAATGATTTGAAGGCTGTCTTAGATAAAAGGACTGGAAGTGATGAACAGAGGTTTGGAATATTTAATCCCAGTAGAAACGCAGGAGAAAATTAAGGTGTTCTTCCTTTCCAACTTTAGGAGACAACAAGTTAGTTACAAAATACAACTGATCAAGGAAATAACAAAATAGTTGTAAGCAAGACGCATAATGTACGTGCACCGGACAATGATGCTGATGATAATGATGATCAGTGTGATTTACTACACAAATACAGACGCCTTGCCTTGTTTCATGACAATACTTGAACTGATAACTATCTGGGTCATAGCTATATTGCACCATATTCATGTTGTTCATAGCAGAGAAGCATGATTGGAGGAAAGTAATTCTTCAGTGAAAGATAATCCAATGTTCGAGCATCTAAAAATGAGAGGAAATTTGAGTTTCTGGGTAACTAAGATTTAAGTAGGTTAATAATAAGTCTTTTAAATATGGTTCTTTTCCAAGAATGAGAAAAATAATAGCGCACTGTCACCAAGAACCATAATTTTAAGCCACTGAGATTGAGGAAGGGCAAGAAAAGGAAATGGCTTACAGATTGTAGAGAGCTCTCCAATAATATGCATAACATGCTACCTAGGCACCTCACATAGACCTCATCTTCATGACTAGAGGCCGTCAGGACGATAGATAGATATATAAGCATAATTCAAAATTATGACGACAGTCCACCAAAGGAGACAAAGTGACATTTCAATCCTAAATGATATACTTATCCCAGAAACTTTATTTTTCGGGTAAGAGCAGAAGCTCAGAGACAAAATGAGAATACTGGAAGTAACAATGTAATAAAATTATCAACAGAAAAAGAAAAAGTTTGTGTTGGATGCAGTTTGAACTTCATAACTACAACGTTTTTTAAGGATTTCATAAAATAAAAACTATTACAAACCTGAGGATAAGTTGGTTTCACTACAATATATAAAAGATCATGACAAAGGACCAAACATATAAATCAGGTAATTGCATACATGATATTTGCAGAATTGTATGTCCACTATGCAGCAAAAAACACATTAATGCTTTCAATTATCATCATCAGTATCTTGGAGTTGGTGCAGTTCCAGAATATAAAATCATCCCCAATTAATTTCACGGGATATGATCAACATGTATTTCCCAGAGAATATATAAGTCAAAAACAACAATTACCTGCTTCATAAGAGAAGTGAAAGCATCCTTTTGCAGACCAAAGCCAATTGCAGCCATTTCAGAGACAGCCTGAATATGGAATAACATCAGAAAAACAAACCAGGGAAGAGAGAGGAACGGGGAAATAATGGAAAGCTTATGCCCACCTCTATAGCAGATATCATCTTAAAACCCCATGAATCCATGGTCTGTTTCCACTCAGGAAATCCCTCAGGTATGACGGGCTCTGAGTTAAGTTCCTACAAAATGAAGCCACATCAGCTTAAGAAGCTTAACGAAACCAACAGAACTCACTAAATCGACCTTAAAGTGAGTATTTGATGGTCGTGGACCAGCTCTCCACATATAGCGCCACTTAGGGTCTGGCCCAGCAGGAGTGGATGGTCGTGACTCTATTGGCATTGCTCTGAATTTCTCTTGCATTTCTTCATCCACCAAACTGCGTGGTACTTCAACTCCTTCAGGTGTTACTCCAACCTGAGAAAACATACCATCAACCATGTCAATTTAGTGGGTGATGCTCTCAACGGAAACTCATATGAGTAGGCCCCTGAAGAAAACACCAAGATGTCAGACCGAACAAGAATTACATTGATGTATCATCAACTATGAATGTCCAGCATGTGTGAACGGGAATACATTTAACATTAAGAAAAGGCGTGTTTACCAAAGTGCAAAGACTAAGTCTTGTATTTAGTTAAATATTAAGGCTTCATGCTTGTTTTGGCTCTTTTTTAACCTGCCCTTTCCTGCTTGTAAATTAGAAATGGCAGTAACTTGTAGAGGCAGTCAAAAAATAAAATATGTTCGGTTGAGGAAGCGCTTTCTATAACTGGATTATAAAAACAAAATTCCATTTTGTGCAACTGAGTTTTAGAGATGAGATTATGTATTAATCATATCTTTCATAATTTAAGCTTAAATTATATCTTAGCACAAAATGTCATTACATTAATCATTAAGGATGTGATCTGTAAAGTAAATTTACTCCTGAAGAAATGAGTGGGATAGGTATTTTCCTCCTTAAATAGAGATTAGTGCTACAAGCACTTAGCTCACATGATCTCAGATTTAATTATGCTCTCAATTTCCATGAAATGATATGACACTTAAATTAAAACTGTGTAAGAGGAGAGCCGCAAACACATTCAAGCTAGCAGCAGGTCACAGAACACAAGCATCAAACCTTGCATATTATCAATATATCCAAATCCTATGGGAAATTGATCGTAAAAGCTAGTACATTTACAGCAGTGCAAATCAAAGACGCAATAGAAATGGTATCCTCTACAAAAACAACATAAAAATTGACATCCCAAAATCACAATGAGGTAAAATTCCTTACAAAAAAAAGAAAAAAGAAAAAAGAAATCAAATCATTCAGAGTACCTAATTACAGAATAAAGCCCAATTACTAGGAATCAAAGCAGTCGATACAAATCGATGAGAGAGAGAGAGAGAGACCTGGTAATGGAGGTGCGGGCGTTCCTGCCGGCGCTTGAAATCGACGGGCATTTCGAAATACCTCTCCATCATATCGAGGAAGCGGTCGTTGTCTTGCGCGGTGCACCGTGGATCTTTGACGAGTAAGGCCCCCGTCTCTCTCAGGGTTCGGCTGACCTCCGCGCACAGGGTCCTTATCTGCGAGTCATTGTCCGAGGGTGGCTGTTTTGCAGAGAATTTCAAGTATGGTTCGAGATCGACTACGGGGATCTCCATAGCTGGGGTTTAGAGAGAGAAAAAACGGTAGCGTCGATCGGGGAAAATGAGATGGAAATGGTGGGCCTACTGGAATTTTTGGAGTAAGATTTAGATTGGGGACTGGCGATGGCGGGAGATTATTATTCCCCCTTTTGGCCTTTCTACTTTCTTTATTTATGAAGTTGAAAGGACAGCAATCTCACTCTCCCTCCACTTAAATACATATTCATATTGATTAAATTCATCCCTTCTAGCCTCGTTTGCTCGGGATGATGAGATTAGACTAAATTAATATAATGTGAGTGAATTGTACTGTGTAGATAAATTTAAATTGGTATTTGTTATATGTGATTGATACTTAAAATGAAATAATATTAATTCCGACCCACCATTTGTTATCCATGATAAGTTTAGGGATAAAATGTATTAAGTCTCTTTTACCGTCATCTCAACATTTGCAATTGGATTTTTTCTTCCTAATTCATTTGCGTACTAACCTTGAATAAAAAATAATAATATGCAACATAAAATAATAATAATTAATAATAATAATAAAGAGAAAAAAAAAAGAGTTTGGTTTGATTTTTTTCCTCTAGTTCATCAATCTGATGAATAAAAATTAAAACATCATTTGCAACCAAAAAAAAATAAAAAAAAAATGATGAGACTAAATTGAATAAAACATCGTCTAAAAGACTCAAAAAGCAAAATGATGTTATTTTAATCAATATGAAAGATGAGAAAAACCAAACAACAAGATTTGAAAAATTGAGAATATCATCCGTCTCCACAATCGCTCTCTCCTCTTTCGTCGCCGCTTCCTCCACCGTCGCCACTGCCTCTACCGCCTCCTCCGAGCTCGATCTTTAACAACTTGTTCAGAACCAACAACAAGAGCAAGTGCTTCTAGCCGTCGCCCAAATCGCCTCAAGCCCCGCCGTCGTCGTCCTCCATATTCAATTCTCTGTTAAGAATTGGTGTGAAAGAGCTCAATGGATTCTTCCATTGGTTAGTGGGTTGTGAAATCCCACGTTTTAATTTTTAAGGCTAAATGGTTGTGTTGTAAATTTCTTGCACATAAAGGTTAATATGGTAAAAAAATAAATATTTTGGGGCTAATTGCATTTTCGCATGTTTATACTGTTGGGATGAAAAGAATCACACCCTCCACACGAAATTTAATAGTCGTGAATATGCAAGAAATGTATTTTCATTTCGGGCCGCATCTAGTCGAGCGGGCCATAGTCACTGCTACCAAACGCTGGACAACCCCATGATTATCCTGGTAATCTTATATTATCTTGCTTAATAGATGGGTCTCTATACATTATTTTAATATGTTAAGTTTAAGTGGCAATCTCACGTGCTTCTGATTTGTAAAAAAATTATGCTTTGGTTAATAAATATCAGGCTCGAGTGCCACATCATTTGCCAACTAGGTTTGATATTTCCAAAAAAATAATAATACTTTTCTTTATTTTATTTTTCTCTTCTTCCATCATACAATCAACATACAATATTTCTTAAAATGTTTGGTTTATCAATAAATTATATTTATTACATAATTTTTTATCTTTCATATCATTATGCCATTCTCGTTTAATCTCTTTCAATTTTTCATCATTTATAATAATTTTATTTTATATTATTTGCTGTTCTTCTTCTTCACGCAAAATTATACACCTTTTCAATATCTTATTTTTTTTCATTTGCTCAACAAGGTTATCCGTCGGCCATGGTCGTTATGTTTTAAGATAAATACTTTGATACTTTGATAATTATCCTAAACCTTTTCATATTATTTTTTATGTGAAATAATATAATTATTTTCTCTTTAAAAATTAAACAATCTTTGAAAATCGAATAACTACACAAACTAGATGAAACAAATCAAATTCAAAAATTCATTTTCAATAAAAAATATCAAAATAAAATAATAAATATATTTTCAAATTATGTCAAACTTTGAAAGACAAATATTTTTCATAAAAAAAAAAGATAATTTCTATAAAAGAAAAGATGTTGAATGTTACAAGAGAATGCAACATCAATACCGCATTAGTTAGTATATGTTGGATAAAAAATTAAATATTATTAACTTATACAGTGTCTAAAAGTCGTTAGGCGCCCGCTAGGCGCTCGGCCAGCGCCTAGCGCCTAGGTGGGACCTAGAAATCAAGATTAAATACTTTTTTTTATTTATTTCCACCTTCTACAATATAAAATAATATATTATTATTATTATTATTATTATTATTATTATTATTATATTGATGTATTGTTATTATTATTATATTGATCTATTATTATTATTATTATATTGATCGAATATTCATATATTACACGAATGTTGTACTAGTTTAAATATAAAATATAAAACATATTGCATGTTGGGCCCACAAATATCTCATCAAATGTCATTAAAGAGACTAAAAGGTATTTGTGGGCCCCACAATTTTTTCATTTAAATAAATGAGCCACATTGCTATTAATGGCTCCACATTCCATTTAAATAGATATTAAGAGCATCTTCCATGTATAATGTTGTAGGTAAATTAGTTTTGTCATATGTCAATTAAAAAGGTGCTTTGAATCCACATCATATGGATGTTGAGTCCACAACTTTTAGAATTTTAAAGTGTTTCTCAATGCAAAATGTGAACAACTCTTAAATAGTATGGGCTTTCGAAAATTTTTTGGGCTTACATCTTTAATAATCCCAAATAGACATAGAAGCTAAGGTTGTTATTAAGGCCTTTCTAGCGCAGCATGCACACGTCACCAATTGTGATGATCAACAAGTCTGCCAGCTTAGCGTTGATCATGCAATGCATGGAGATAAAACAAGAAAGGGTAGCTGTCATTTAACTACAAGACAAACAAGAAGCCCTAGGTTTGATGAGGGTTGTGATCAATGGCCCAAGAACTTACACGTGCCCCTCCTTGCTATGGCTAGTTGAGAGTAGCCGTCATGTATAGGTTAGAGAGTATAAGAAAGAGAGTATAGAGTGAAAATATGCATTCTGTGAACTAAAAAAGCAAAAGCATTTCTTTGCTAAAATAAATAAAAAAAAAAAACTGCCATGGATCATTTATGGCTTTTATTCACATTTATTACTTGATTACTATTTTCATTATGGCATAAGAGCTAGGTTTCTGACCTATCTCTTAGCTCGTTCTTTTTTTCTTGCCATTTATTTCTCAAACAAAAATGGCCCTACCTACACCGCAGCTTGACCCCATTGTGCAGCTGCAAAATCAGCTGGTTACCACTAAGCTCTCTGAAAACAACTTTCTTGCTTGGGAACAGCAAATTCTGACCACAATCTAGAGTATGATCTTCTTGGTTTTCTCACAGAGACACAAGATCACCAGACAAACTTGCTCAAGATCCAAACACAGGAGAAACAATAGTAAACAAAGCCTACCTTCACTAGGTAAAACAAGATCAGTTGGTTGCTTTCTTGGATGTTGTCATCCCTCTCAAAAAATGTCTTGGTCACCACAGTTGGTCTTAACACTGCCAAAGAGATATGGGGCTGCTTGAAAGGCAGCTTTGCTAGCCACAGCTTGGCTAGACAGATGCAGCTCAAACTAGAGTTGCAGGCTCTAAGAAAAGAAGCATTGAACATCATAGAATACTTTAACAAAGTCAAGGGAGTTATTGATATGCTTGCAGCTGCTGGTCAGAAGATTGAAGAAAATGACCAAGTTTTGCACCTCCTCTCATGACTTGGACATGAATACAATCCTGTAGTGGTTAATCTAACATCCAGATCTGAAAAATGCAGCATGATGAAGGCTTATTATGTGCTCCTAAGTTTTGAAAGCAAGATTGAGAGCCTTGAAGGATCCAACAACAACAACACTGAAGGCTCACTGTTAGCTGCAAACCTAACCACTCATTTCCAAGCTAGAGGTAGAGGTTTCAATGCACCAAGAAGCAGATTTGGAAGAGGAAGATGTGGTGGCAGATCTGGTGCCTTTAGGGGCCGAGGAGGAAGAAACTCCAGTGAAAAAAACCGTCCAAGATGCCATCTGTAATTATAACAACCACACTGCCAAGGAGTGCTACTACAGGTTTGATTCAACCTTTGTGTCAAAAAATCAAAATAAAAGTGATGTTGTGAACTCCTCCCACAATGGACATGTTACAGATAATGTTGCAAGCATAGGCTCCTCTGGTGACAGTACAAGCCAAGATATCTATTGGTTTTCACATTCTAGTGCAACCCATCACCTCACAAATGATCTTGGTAACCTCAACATAGCCAGTGATTATCAAGGCAATGAAAAAATCTAGGCTACAAATGGAATAGGTATGACCATTGCTCACATTGGTGAAGCTATGTTAAGATGCCCAATCAATACTCATTCTCATATCTTTTCCCTAAACAACCTCATGCATGTACCAAAAATAACAAAAAATATTCTTAGTGTTTCACAATTTGCTCATGACAATGGTGTCTTTTTTGAATTTCACCCAACCTTATGTTTTGTGAAGGACCTCAAGACTGGTGCTCCACTTCTTCAAGGAACCCTTAAAGATGGCCTTTATTGCTTCAAGATTACATCCACTCAAGACCAACCATCCTTTCATATTTTACCTTCTGTTTTTCAATCAAGTCGTATGCGACTAGCATAAAGAACATTGTTGATCTTGATGTATGGCACAAAAGACTTGGCCACCCTTGTTATGACTTGGTTAGAACTGCCTAAAAAATGGCAACATTGAGTTTCTTGAGAATAAAAGAACCCTTCTTTGTGATGTATGCATGCAGTCAAAATTTCATAAATTACATTTCTCTGAATCTGATCATGCATGTTATAAGCCCTTTGATCTTGTACATTCTGATTTATAGGGGCTTGCCCCAATAGTCTCACACGAAGGCTTTAAATACTATGTTAGTTTTATTGATCAAAGCACTAGGTTCATTTGGTTATATCTTCTTAAGGCCAAATCAGACACCCAAATTACTTTCCTTCACTTTACAACACTCATCAAAAACCAGTTTAAT